TCAAATTTGTCGTCACAATTAGAAAAATGCCGCGATTCAGGGTTGCTGCTTTTAGATCCGTGTTGTAATGTATTCTGTCCGTTCAATTTACATAACGATTGCAATGATCAATGATGTCCAAATTGTGTCCAATAAAAACAAGCTTTGGAATTTAGAAACAAAAGTGGTATTAAAAATGAACAAGTCAGTTTGGATAAGTAGTTGTCAAGAAACTTGAAAATAATCTGAATATGTTGTTCAGACAAATTTTAAAAGTTATCTTGTTGTTATCACTTACTGGTTCCGAGTGTACCTTTTCAGGAGTTGGTTTATTTTTGAGTAGTAATGGAAAGTAAATTTGATATTAAATGTCTAAAGCATTGTTACATAAGTTATTTTCTGTTTTAACTTAGTTGTTAATCAATCCTGAAATAATAAGAGCTTGTCCAGCTTTGATCCCATATGTGAATGAGTTTCTGGAGAACAAAGCCTATAGCAAGGGAAAAGGAGATTTTGCTCGCAAGGTAAGCCTGCCATCTATTGATTAAATTGTGTCATGTTCCTCATCAAAAATTCTAACTCACATTGAAGTTTGTTTTGAGGAAGGTTCTGAAGTCCTCTAAAGTATTGATTGTAATATTTGACTGGCACAAAGTGTTTGAATGTACTTCAGTATTTTATGTTTTCTACAGTTTAAATATATTGAATCAATTAATGCATGTCTTCATCAGAGTTGAGTTTTTGTTTGTATGAATTTCCAATCTGTGATCACGGTGAGCACAATTCTCATTGAAAACGCATGTTTGGAAAAATTACCTCTTCTAGTGTCAAAAACTATTTAAATTTCAATCCTGTTGGCCTCAAATTCATGGCGGTGGGGACAGGGGCTTTTTCCAGGTTCCTATGCTTGTGGAATCCACTGAAAAATGACAGTAAAGTAATTGCACTCGGTTTCTGGAATTTTGAGGTAGCCTCTTATAGGGAATAACCACCACCTATCATTACATGAAAACTGACAGTAAGGGACAACACCATGAATAAATACATATGTTATACGGATAAACTTAATTACAGGTCAGTCAACCTCAGTGGTGGGAAACTTCTAGAAACAAATATTTGGAATAATAGTTACATTGATAGAAAATTGGTTCGTTTGGAAGAGCCAGCATGCATTTGTTGAGGAAAAATAGTGTCTAACTAACTTGCTAGAGTTTTTGAGGAGATAAGAGGATTGATGAGGGAGATGATGTTGATATGGTGTATATAGATTTTCATAAGGTGTTCAATACAGTATCAGATAATGGACATATGAGGAAAGTTACAACTCATGGGGAAAAGAAAAGGACAGTAGTATCAGAAATAGAGTAATAGTTAATGGGTATTTTCAGGCATAAGCAAAGTTTTGTTGAAGGGGCGAGTATTGGGACCCTTGTTTTTTTCTGAAAAAGAAAAGTTGATACAGATTGTGGTATGCAGAGGACAGGTTCAAAATTTGCGGATACTACAGTACTTTGGAGCATTATAAACTGTAAAATGGACAGTGTAAAACTTAAAAGGACATTGGCATGCTGTTGGAGTGAACAGATGGGTGACAGATGGGGTTTAGTGGTGAAAAGTACAACTTGATACATTTGGTATCAAAAAGATGGGGAGACAGTACAAAATAAAGGACATTATTCCATAGGGCATGTACAGATGTAAGTCATCAAAGGTGTCAGGACAGTGAAAGAGTATTTAAGAAAGCACAGTAGTCTAACCCTCATTAATAGGGGCATAATGGACAAGAACAGGGAGGTTTTGTTCAACTTAGGTAAGATAGACCTCAGTTGGAGTATTGTGTACAGTTCTGGCACCATACTGTAGGAAGGATATGGACGCATTGGAAAGTTTGTGGAAAAGTTTTGTGCGACTGTTTCTGCAAGTGGTTCTAAGGTAAGAAATTGAAATTTCTTACAACAGATAGGAGAAGTTGGGAGTGTTTTCAAAATCATGAGAGGTCTTGGCAGAGCGCTTGGTGAGAAATTGTTGCTACTGTGAAGAGGATTCAGAACCAGAGGACACAGTTTTAACATTTTTCGAAAGAAACAAATGTGAGATCAGAAATAAAGTTCACATAGTGAGTTGTTAAGTTCTGAAACACACTGCTGGAAGTGTGACAGTAGGGGCAGGTTCCATTGAGTCTTTCAGGAGAGCGTTGTGATTATTTAAATGGAAAAAGACAGTTGATGCTGATGCACTGGGCCAAATGGTCTCCTTCTGCATCATAACAATTCTGTGATTCCGCAATTCTCCATACACTGAGAGCTCACATTGACCTTTTCACAGTCAGAGTTAGGTGTCAAATTGGAAACTGTTTTAGAGTTAGTGAGATGAATCATACAAGCCTCTAGTTGAACATTGCCCCAGCCCCGTGCAGAATAAGAAGTGGTCTGCATTCTGGATGAAGACCCTAATTTTGAAACACATACATTGTTTCAATATCAACAAAACTTGCATTCATCTACAAAAATTGAGTTTAGAGCAATGGGCCAGGCTGGCCCCTACCACTTTCCATAGGACAACTAAGTTTTAAATTTTCCAAATTGATGGAGTAGCTGAACATCAAATTCATATCCGATTTATTCCCCTGCAGATTAGAAGCTTTCCAGGTGTCTCTGAAACTAAACACAAGCATTTAATAGCACCACCACTAGGCATGATCCTGGTGTGAATGCTGAAAATGGAACAAGTTTCTGTGTTTGTACCTCACCGGTTATACTTATACAACATTGAGTTTTGGCATAATTTATTGTTAAGCCACCCGTTTAGACATGTTATTGACATAAATTCATAGCAGGTGGGACTGGATCCTGAAACTTCTGTCCCAAACATAGAGACACAACCACAGTGTCGCAGGATTTTATAGGTTTTGTTTATCACATCTAAATGCTGCCAATTTAAAATGGTTTTGTATTGTTTTATGGTGAATTTACATTGTATGCATCATATAGATAACATACATGTATTTTGAGTAGGACATGATCTGTCTCCTTAGTATTAAAAACTAGTTGGTCTCATTTGGGCATCACCTAAAAGCTTACTCTGCTTAGGTTTAAGGTTGATCCAGAATAGAAACATTTAAAAATTAAGCAGTAAACCAGCGCTTTCATTTGAGTAATATTTAAAGAAAATTGAGTTCCATCAACTTTTTCAGTAAAGTTACTGTGCTTGGGTATGAACAGTATAACTGATATACTTGTGGAGCACACCAGAAGGCAATATCAGTTGTAGAGTAGATTGCAATCTAAGCCTTCAGGATGCCAACCTCAATTTTTTATTTATTCATTCATGAGATGTGGGCATCACTGGCTAGGCCAGCATTTATTGCCCAGAGGGCAATTTCTTAACTCAACCACATCGCTGAGTGTCTGGAGTCACATGTAGGCCAGACCTGATAAGGATGGCAGTTTCCTTCCCTAAAGGACATTGGTGAACCAGAAGGGTTTTCTGACAATCTCAATGGATTCATGGTCATCATTAGACTCTAAATTCCAGGTTTTGTATTTACTGTTGAATTCAATTTTAAATTCAGTTCAATTCCACCATCTACTGTGGCAGAGCTTACCTGTATGACATTTCTATCAACAGCACTTGAAGAATTTGAAAAGTGCTGGACTTGTTGATTTTTGATGTGCTTTAACGTCCACTTCAAATTGTTCAGTTGTTATCTTTGCTTGGATGTGTATTACTTTTTTCCTGCCTGTACTGTAAAGCCAAGTTCTAGAAGGGAAAAACGTCAGTTTACCGTCTCAATGTAGTTTCTTTGAAATGCGATTAGAGCACCAATACTGCATAGTCTATTCAACGTACTCTTATCGTCCATTTATACTTAACAGCGCATCAAGTTAGAGGGAAAAAAGTTCCGATGGACTGCTTATGTACTGTCTTACAGATTTGTTAGGCTTTGTCAGTGCTACAAATCTGCACTCTTTGGTAGCTGCTGATCCACTGCCAATTCTTACCACTTAAAATTAGTCTGGCCAAAACAAATTCCAGAGTTCTGGGATTGGTCCAGTTTAGAGAAAGATTGTTGTATTTTGACCTGATCATGTCTCTGAAATGATGAGTCTCAATTCTAATTAGCATTGACAAAAACTTCATGGAGAAGAAGATATAGGCTGAAAGAATTCTTTAGTTAGGAGATTTTCCAGAATACGTTACCTTCCTAATAGTGATTGGTTAAAAGTTAACATTTTTTTGAAAAAAAGTGCTTACTAGTAATCCAGAAATGCATTTCAATCTGTAGAATTTTTTTTTTAAATGAGTCATGCCTGTTTTGGGGGGTTCTAATACTTGTACTGCATCTTGTTTGTGTTTTTCAGATGGACACGCTTGTAAATCCCCTGCGTAACTCAATGAGAAATGTTTCAAATGTTGTTAAGTCAATTCCAGACAGTCTGGCAGAAGGAATGACAAAAGTATCAGACAATATGGATAAGTTGGGACATGAACTTAAGCATACATTTTTGAAGGTATTCCAAAAACAAAAAAATTTTGAATTTGCATGACACCTCTGTGTAGCAAAACATGTTGGTATATGGCATTATCAAACAAACCATAGGTATTTTAGAGTGGTGAAATATAGGTCTTAAGTGTCATAAAGGAGAAAAGAGAATTAGAGACAGAGAAGCTAATTAAAATAGAATCAGGAGGTGACCCCATGGCCCCTTGAGTATGATCTGCTATTCAATATGATCATGGGTGATGGTCTTCAATATCACTTTGCTGTCTATTCCTAAATCCCTTCATTCCCTAAGAGATAAATAATTTATCTGCCCCAACCTCAAATATATTCGTCACAGGAATGTTGGCCCATGTTTCAAGGAGTTTGGAGTGTAAGAGTAAGGAAATCTTAATGCAGCTGTACAAGGTACTAGTGAGACCACATCTGGAGTACTATGAGCGTAACCATCTGTGGTAGGGGGTTCCAAAGGTTCACAAACCCCCAAATGAAGAAACTTCTGAACTTGGTTCTTTATTCTGAGATCGTGCCCCTGTTTTCTAAACTCGCCATCCCGGAGCAACAACCTGTCGCAGTCTATCTTGTCATGTGCCTTCAGATTCTTGTATGTCACAATCAATATTCTCATTCAACTGCAGCACCCATAAGGCCAATTTACTTGGCCTCTCATCTTGAGAGAATACCCTTATCCCAAGAACCAATCTCATAAATTTTTTTAATACTGTCTCCAAGTGTATCCCTTCTTAGATACGGAGACCAAATCTGCGCACAGGGTTCCAGGTGTGTTATTACCAAGGTCTTATGTAATTGTGGCAATCTTTCCTTATTGCTGAACTCAAGTCCCCCTTCCCCAATAAGCCTAACTTCCTGTTTGCTCTCCCTATTGTTTACGTATTTGCATGCTAATTTTGTGTTCCTAGTAGGAGTATACTTAAATCTTCCATAAGAAGTTGGACTGGGGTAGGCCAATATCTGGCCCCTCAAGCCTGCTGCACCATTCAATAGGACTATGGCTGATCTGACATTCCTCATGTTCACTTTCCTGTGTTTTCCCTATAACTTTGGAATCTCCTACTGATCAAGAATCAATCTACTGCAGTCTTAATGCTCACAGGGATTCTGCCCCAGCAGCTTTTCAGGTCAAGGAATTCTAAAGACACTCCATCCTCGGAGAGGAAGTTCCACCTCATCTCCTTCTTAAATTGGTACCCATTTATTCTAAGACTATGCTCTCTGGTTCTTGATTCTTCCATGAGAGGAAATATTCTCTGAACATTTGCCCTGTCAAGCCCCTTAAGAATCTAAATGTTTCAATCATTCTTCTTAACTCCAGTGAATGGAATCACAACCTGTTAAGCGTTTGCTCATAAGACATTTCACTCCAGACCAGGAATCATCCAAGTGAACCTTCTCAGAACTGCCTTCAATGAAATGATATCATTCCTTAAATAAGGAGACCAAAACTGCTCATAGTTCTCCAGAGGTGGTCTCCCCAGCACATTGTACTGTTGCAGTAAGACTTCCTTACTCTATATTCCAACCGCCTTAAACAGGGCCAAAGTTCCTTTAGACTTATTGATTACTTGCTGCATCTGTGGGCTAGCTTTGTGTTTTGTGCACAAGTGCCCCCAAATCCCTTTGTGTTGCAGCTTTTCTCTATTTAAGTAATATTCTGTACTGTTGTTCTCCTTCCAAAATGAACAATTTCACATTTCCCACATTATATTCTATTTTCTAACAACTTGCCCACTTATGTAACCTATCAATACCTCTCTATAAACTATAAACTATATACGTTTCACAACTTCCATCTGTTTTTATGTTGTCTGCAAGTTTGGCTACAGTACATTTGTCTCCTTCCTCCAAGTCAATATATATTGTAAACAGTTCCTGCATGTCAACATTCAAATGTTCCATTCCGTTTTACAAAACAGTTCTGTTTCTACAAAAAAAAATCAAGTGATTAAGACAAACTTACAATGGTAATTTACCAACATTAAAGCAGAATATTGCAGAATACCAGCAGTGCCCACTGGTACCTAAAGGTCTATTTTCCTAGTGGACTCTGCACATACCCTCTCCATGGACACCCTAGTACAGGTGTAATCATGGAAGAAGGGTACACAGTCATGTTACAACCCTCTCCATGGCCCACTGCCTGGACCAATTGATAGTCACCTTGACGAAGACGGGTCCATGAGATGGTCCTCTGATCTGCCTGGCCCCAGACTACGTAGAGGTTGCAAACAAAAACTCTCAAAGTAAACATGAGAAACTGATGCTTCTATGTCACAAAGAATGTGTTCTCCCAAACTATGAATAGACTTAAATTTTTATTTGATGGAGCTGCAACACTCTCTGTCCCAGATAACCTATGGAAAGAAGGAGACCTCTCTCATAAAGTGTCCATCACTGCAGATCTCTGCTGATGGAATGTAGAAAGTCTGAGTGGTGGACAGAGGCGACAAAGTAAACAGCATTCAGCAGCGGTCCATACAGGAAGCCCCTTGAAAGGCACAAAGATGGAGGGTTCGGTTTCTGGGGCCATTTTCAAATGCTGAATGGGGAAGAAGCCTACTGTAACTGGCAGCCTTCTATCTAAGTGTTAACCATCTTAGCTTCCAAGATCAGGTACTTTCATACTAGTATGCCAGTTGGCAAAGTATTTTTCTAATCTTACTGGCAAAGTGAATAATGTCATACTTCCCACATTGTTCTACATCTGATATGTTGTTACCCAGTCACTTAAACAGTCTCTACCTCTTCATGTGAAGTCTTGTAGCACAGTGGGTAGCATCCCTGCCTCTGAGCCAGAGGCTGTGGTTCAAATCTCATCCTAGCAGTCAATGGCCAAGGAAGGTGTATTTGAAGGTGACCAAACATATTAAATATCAACCTGTAAATCTTTGCAATACATGCCAATTGCATGTAACAGTTCAAATGATTCTTGGTCTTGTTATATGATGCAAAGAATATTGGGGCCTCTACCATCACTATCCAGCATTTTGTTTTGCAATAAATTTTGTTCCCAGTCTAATTGGTTTATATTTCAGTGGTATGGCGTCATCTCCTGAGAGCTATCATAGGTCTGTGGACCTGTTTCTACAGAATAGCAAGTCTTTTTTTTTCCAGAACTAACCTCATCAACTCTGGAGATCGTCCCTCCACTGTTTCACACCACATAGTACACCTCACTTCTACTTCCTTCCTGAGATTCTCAAACAGATTTTCCTTTCTCGACTTGTCTTTTTAGTTTTCTATCTGAAAATTTCCATAGATGCCGCCAGACAGACTGAGTATTTTCAGTGTCTTATTTCAGATTTATGTTCTGTGTAATATGTTCCTTTTGATTTATAGTTCCGTTTTTTTCTCACGTTTTTTCTTGAACATTTATATTTGCGAACTTCCAATGCACTCACGCAATTCTGCAATCTAAAGAACTTTAGAGGATTACAATCAGTGCACACGTTTTCACTGCAGCGATCCGATTTATAGTGCTAGAATTAGGCTAGCAAGGCCTGGGATTTTATTGGCTTTAGTCCCTTTTGTTTCTAATATATTTTCTCTGCTGCTATTTATTTACTTTATTAACTTTGTCATTCAAGTTGCCTCCTTTCACTCCCTCACTCGCTGCTATAGTTCTGCTCTCTTTCTGGTATTTACCTTTTACTGTAAAGACAAATATTTGCTAAATTTGTCTGCCATTTCCTCAATGTCCATGATGATTTGTCCTGCCTCTGCCTGTAAGGAAACAATGTTTACTTAGTATTTTAGTCTTGCAGTTTTTCTTCTTATTTCTGGCTAATTTACTCTTCTGAACATTTTTGTTAATGGTTTTGTTACATAGATTTCTAAAACTCCTGGCAAACTTCTGCTTATTATTGTTTTTCATGACATATTTAATACTCATCTTTGTTTTCCTAGTAAGTTACTGATAGATCTTTTTGCTGAATTTCTCTTTTTAATTAATATAATTTTATAGAAAATTATTTGGACTGGGATTCCAAAGCTTTCAGGCCCTTACAGTTGAAGGCACATTAAGCAATATTGAAGCAATTTAAAATTAGGAATATAAAATAAATCAGAATTGGGAAATTGCTAACATCTCAGTTGGCAGACAGTTCTAAGGATGGAGGAGATTTCTTGCATCAAACAAAGCAAGATGGTGGAAAATATTGTCAATTGAAGTTGTTGACTTGCTTGCCAAGCTGGCTTGTTTTCGTTCAGACGTTTCATCACCATGCTAGGTAACATCATCCCTGAGACCTCTGATGAAGCGGTGTTGTCCTACTCCGCTCGGAATTTATACTGTTATGGTGAGTAGTGTCATTTCCAGTTTTGTTCTGTATGGGTTTGTATATGGGGTCCAATTCTATATGTTTGTTGATTGCATTATGGGTTGAGAACCATACCTCTAGGAATTCCCGTGCGTGTCTGTGTTTGGCTTGGGCTACTGTAGTTACGTTGTCCCAGTTAAACTGATGGCCTTCATCGCCCGAGTGTACTGATATTAAGGAAAGTTTGTCGTGTTGTTTTGTTCGTGTTGGTTTTGGTTAACAAAATACCATGCAACAACTGCCACAAACATTACGTTGGACAGGCAGGAAGGAAACTAGCCATCAGAATACACGAACACGAGCAGCAAAACGATACGACTAACTTTCCTTAATATCAGTACACTCAGGTGATGAAGGCCATCAGTTTAACTGGGACAAGGTTACTATAGTTGCCTAAGCCAAACATAGAGACGATGAGAATTCTTAGAGGCATGGCTCTCAACCCGTAATGCAATCAACAAACATTTAGAATTGGACCCCATATACAAACCCATACAGATCAAAACCGGAAATGACACTACTCACCATAACTGACCGGACAGTATAAATTCTAAGCGGAGTAGAACAACATCGCTTCATTGGAGGCCTCACTGATGTTACCTAGCATCGTGACAAAATGTCTGAATGAAAACAAGCCAGCTCGGTGAGCAAGTCAACAACCTCACTCTCGACCCAAGCTACAAATCTTTGCTAAAACTTTAAATTGTCAGTTGAAAGTTATAAATATTTTTCTCAATTTCACTCTTTTTTTTGAGTTTGTATTATAAATAATATTAACATACTTGTTTGACTTTTGATGCAGGTTCCGCCGTTAAAGCCAGAAGAAGATAGTGAACATGTTCGTGTTTCTGCCCAGCTGGATGATAATGTGCGTTACTTTTTTTTAATGTTTATCGGTGTTGGAAATCAGCCGATGCTGAGTTTTTATTAACACTTGCTATTGCTTTGTATTTGAGAGTAACCAATTTTCTTTTTAGTTCCATTGTTGTTAATGCGGCTTTGCTGCTGAATGACCATTTGGGTCCATTGAGATCTGATAAAATTACTTAATAGGTTTTGGGATATTAAGAACTGCTGATGCTGGAGTCCGAGGTAACAGTGTGGAGCTGGAGGAGCACAGCAGGCCAGGCAGCATCAGAGGAGCAGGAAAGTTGACGTTTCGAGTCAGGACCCTTCTTCAGAAATGGGGGAGGCGGAAGGGAGCTCCAAAAGAAATAGAGATGGGAGGGTTGGGGCTGGTGAAAGTAGGTGGAATAGTGAGAGGTGAGTGCGGGTAGGCAGTGGTGGGGCTTGGTCAGTGAGGTGGGAGGGGCGGATAGGTGGGAGAGAAGATGGACAGGTTGTGTCAAGTCAAGGAGGTGGGGATAAGAGGGATGGTTGGTCATGGGTTGTGGCCAGGGGTGGGGAGATTTTGAAACTGGTGAAGTCCACATTGAGGCCATTGGGCTGTAGGCTCCCAAGGCGGAATATGAGGTGCTGCTCCTCCAGTTTCCGGGTGGCGTCATTGTGACACTGGAGGAGGCCCAGGATGGACGTGTCACCCAGGGAGGGGGAGTTGAAATGGTTTGTGACTGGAAGATGTTGTCGTTTGTCGCAAACAGAGAGCATAGGCACTCTACAAAGCGGTCTCTGACCCTCCACTTGGTCTCACCAATGTAGAGGAGGCCACATCGGGAGCAGTGGATACAATAGACCACATTGGCAGATGTGCAGGTGAACATCTGTCTGATGTGGAAGGTTTTTTTGGCTCCTTGGATGGAGGTGAGTGGGAGATGTAGGGGCAGGTGTAGCACTTCCTGTGGTTGCAGGGAAAGGTGCCGGGTGTGGTGGGGCTAGTGGGGAGTGTGGAGCGGACGGTGGAGTTGCGGAGAGAGTGGTCCCTACGAAAGGCAGATAGGGGTGGGGAGGGAAATATATCTTTGGTTCTGGTGTCAGATCGCAGATGGCGGAAGTGGCGGAGAATGATATGTTGAATACGGAGGTTAGTGGGGTGATATGTGACGACAAGGGGGATTTCTGTTTTTTTTTTTGTGCGGGGAGGGGGGGGGATGTGAGGGCAGAGGTGTGGGAAAAGCAAGAGATGCGGTCGAGAGCATTTTCGACCACCAAAGGGGAGAAGTTACGGTCCTTGAAATAAGAAGACATCTCGGATGTTCGGGAGTGGAACGTCAAATCTTGGGAGCAGACGTGGCGGAGGCGGAGGAATTCACATCTTGCATCTCTAGGCCTGTATATAATTTCCATTTTATAATTACATTTATTATTTCCTAAAACAGGTTGATGACAACATTCCTCTCAGAGTTATGCTGCTTCTTATGGATGAAGTATTTGACTTAAAAGATAAAAATCACTGGTTAAGAAGAAATATCAAAAACTTACTTCAGCAGCTTATCCGAGCAACTTATGGGGACACAATCAACAGGTTTGATTAAACTAAGCTATCCAAATTAATACAACATCTTTTGCTATAAGTTGTGCTATAGTCTAAAATTTGCCAGTAATTTAGTGATATGAACTAAAACTGGAATGCAGGTATATCAGTTTCATTTACAGAAAGTTTGATCCATTCTGAGATGAGGTATCTTCCAGTGGAAGGATGCAACTGCTTTACACCCAGAAATAGCATTATCTGTATCAAGAAGAAAACTTGCTCAAGATTCAGAAAATTTCAAATTGCTGGCGATGTTTACAACTTGTCTCTTTTGTGGATCCCCCAGCCTTACTTAAAGAGGCTGCCCAGGGATTGTTGTGATCTCAGTCAAGAACAGTAATGTATTTAGTTCTTAAGTGCCTGAAAATCCAGATGCGTAGTAAAAGAAGTAAGCCGTAAGGTTTGAAATTTAAAACAAAATAATCTTACTGCAACATCAAAAAAATTGCACTGTATCCTAAATAGTCAGTTACATTATGTTAAAAGTGCCAAGAGCAAAATTGCTCATACTCCTACTTAATTTTCTTTCAATACTTGCTTGACTTATGCCTCCAAAAACTCAAATCCATTACTTAGAAATTTGAAGATTAACCACTTGACCTGAATATTGATTCATAGATTTGTATAAGGATTGAGATTTCTTGAGATTTCCACTTACTTCCAGCATGTTTGTCCTTTCAAATCTATTCCATTGATCGTTCTGTGATTGTAGACATCTCCATTCAGAAAAGGCCTTGCTAGCATCTTGTGTGTTGCCACCTCATTCGAGAACTTTCCTTTTCCTGTTGTTCTCTTACTGTGGAGTCTTGCATCTGAAACTTTGTCACTTTCTGCTCAGATTAGGTATTCCAGATGTTTGACAAACTGTTAGTAAAGACCTTCAATTACATAGACTTCTACACCCTTTTGCCAGCACAGAAAATGTCCACTGATCTCTGACACTCACCTTGTTCTGAAATTGTACTTGAAACCAGAGACATACCCACAATCTACTCTCCCCTTTAATTAACCTGTTGATTCTTTATCTAAAGTATATCACATATCCAAGTACTGGATGGATGCAAGGTGCTTTTCTAGAAATGAACCTAGTTCTTAAAGGGCCATCACAAGATGAACTTCATTTTGAGGAGCATATTGAATAAATATTCTGAAATGTATCTTTGAACAGCCAACAAGTTTTGCCTTCAATGTTGATACTTTATCACTTCTAGAAAAATTGTGGACCATGTTGATTGGATGACTTCACCAGAGCAAGTTGCAGAAACTGTAAAACGATTCAGGTAAGCAATTTTTAAAAAGTTACACATGCTTCATGAAATTATTTTTTACCAATTTTAAAATAATTTGTAACTTTTGTCCACAGAGATTCCTTCTGGCCTAATGGTATCTTAGCAGAAAGTGCACCACGCAGGGAAAAGGCTATAAGAATGCGCTCAAGGGTGGCTGCTAAGACTAAGATGCTGGTGATTATGCCAGGTAAGATACACTTGTTCTTATTTTTAAATAAATCCTGTATTTGTGTTACTGTTTGATGATTCAGATTAAAATCAATGAGCATTTATTGTAACTTAACTCTCTCTCTTTCACCAATAGAGGTGTAATCATTATGCTACTAAACTATGCTTAATCCAAATGTGCAGTAGGATTTTTCTGTTTCTCATACCAGTACTGCCACATTTGAAATGAGGCCATTAAAATCAGATGCTGCGTTGAGTATCCGTAAACTTATTTGAAATATGACATGAAAAGGAGACTTTTCCAAATTTCTGAACTGAATTAGAATCCAAAGATTTAAGGATAGAGAACCAATCCACAATACTATTCAGTCATCAACCTCTATTTTTTGATATGAGCTGATAGGACGGTGATTGCAGAAGACAGAAGATGCATCCTGCATCTGATTAGTAAAAATATACTGTAAAATTACTTCTGGACACTTTGTAGAAATAAAAGGAGAATGTCACCCAGCATCAATATTCCTTCCTTGATATGCAGTGAGATTTCTTTTCCCCAAGTTCTAGTTTTAATTCAACATGTAATGGGTTGCATGACTGACATGTTTAAATGATCTCACTAATGTAGATATTTAAAATTTTATCCTCTTGTACTACTCCTTTGAGACAACTTCAACTTCTGATGTGTGTTTTTCAGATGAACTAAAACATATCATTGGTGCTGAAACAACACGCAAAGGCATTTTACGAATCTTTGAGATGTTCCAGTATAACCAGTTAAACCGAAGATTGGTCTATGTGTTTCTGGAAGGCTTCCTAGAAACCCTTTTTCCCCAGTACAAATTTCGTGAGCTCTTCGTCAAATTGCATTCACGATCACAGCGAATACAAAAATACAAGCAGAAGTCTCAGCCAGTTCAAGTTGCTTCCTGTCAAAAGAGGTGACACTTCCAGCATGAAAACTGTACCGTGTGGATTCGGTCTTGTGCACCTGCCCTAGTTCAGTCTATGTTACAGCAGTTTCTCTGGGGCTCTGAAACATACACAGCTGCAGTTATGATGCCATCTTTTTGTGCCAGCCTCTAGAGCCATGACTCATTGGCTTACTTCAGATGATGTTTGTCTGCTGTTTTTGATTTTTTTAATGCACTTTTCCCTCATAATATTCCTGTGTATCATAATTGTTTTGTATTTATTATAACGTCTTCAAAGCTCATTGAGAAAATGTGATTAATTCGTAATAGAAGAGCTGTAGATGCATGGTCAAACTGCTGCATCTCATAGCTGTCTCCTTGTGTCTAGTTAGCATCAAAACCAATTATGCAGCCACTGAATCATCTCTCAGACAGGTAATGGTAATAGCAGTATTGCTTAAGGTTAGGGCAAAGCACAATTATGATATTGCATTGAATGAACTAATGTTTATCCGATTTGGAAAGCAAATGATGAATTCAGCACAAATCAGCATTTTTGTTTGAGAAAATGTGATGGCTGATGGGCATCAGTTTCAAAAAGGACAGCATTAAGAGAGTACAAATGTGTTCAGTTATATGTCTGCAAAAAGCCCAAGTGAACATCTTTTGTAGCAGAAATAATATTCTAGGTGTTTTAACTGATGTGAATTTGATCTAGTGTCTCAAAAACTAGATCGCTAATCTGAGAGAACCACAAGAATAGGTTGTATTCCACACACTGCCTGCACTTGTCAAAACAGCTGACTAAAGCAGTCTTTTTTTTTTAGTTGCATACATGTCTGTGCTTGGTCCATAAGTCAAGGAGTTACTGAGCCGTGTATTTTCATACAACCGTAAAGCCTCCAGAGATTATTGTAAATTTTAATGTACAGAGATTTTAATGTACTTTAAAGTTGGGTGTGTCCAAGATAACAAGTGAGTGCTCTGATTAGGATTGATCGGATTAATGTTGCCACTGTAGCAAATATAATTTGAGATTAGCCTTAAATGTCCTGTTTAAAAATAGTTTTCTCATTTTAACCTGACCAGATTGTTTCCGAAAACTGGCTTTCACTTGTGTACTGGTAAATATTTCCACAGAAATAAGTGCCCATTTCTGCAATTGTCAGGAAGCTATGATCTGTAAAATGTATTGTGCATTTAACCAAATCTTATTTCTGACAAACATCTTTATGGAAACTAATTTAAATGGGCCCCATCCATATACTTTATACTGAGATTTTAATTTTGTGCAATATTTCTTTAGCATATGTGCATTTAAATAAATTGTATAATGAAAAATTTTAAATGTTTTGAAATGTATGTTTAACAGTCGTCTTAACCCAACAACGTGCATTCTGTTGTTGATGCATTAGTTTATTTAAGGACTTGTTTTAAAAGTCTAGTCACTCCTTGTAAAACTCACTTGTCACGGATGAAATTTCCTCATCCGAGCACGGCTTGTAAACTACAGGGGGATCTTAAGAGCACATGGTAAATAGCTATTAATGAATTTGTGCATTTCATTGTACAGTGTCAACAGTGTGCCTAATTGTACTGTCGATTTTTTTTTCTTATTTCTGAAAGAACAAATGTCAATCAGAATGTCTTGGTGGTTTTTAATAGACTGAAGAGGAACTCTAAATTTTTGAGTTTGCATTACGCTATTAAAATGTTCAATAGAACAGACGAAGAAAAGTATCACACTAAATAAAGTATTAACTGAAATATGACTTTAACTTGTGTTCATTCATATCAAGTTCCCTGTACCTATGTAGTGAGAAGTTGAATGCTTGAGTGAGTCTAGGATAGGAGAGACTTTGGAGTACAGCAGGCACTCCCTTTTGAAGACATTCTGGCTCCTTAATGGCATGGCATCTTCAAGTTGCTGGGTGTGCTGAGCCTGAAAGTGGAGGATAATGGAGATAATGTCTCTGGTTATCAGGCTGTAGCATGCCTCAATTTGCGGTGAAGTGTGCTCACCCCTCATCTGCAGGGTTTGATACCAATTCCTCTTCTGAGATCTAATAACCTTCTGTTCCCAATGTTGAGCATTTCCACCAGGAATCCTGCACCCAGCTGCTGGTGGTCACAGTGACTGCCTTAAGAAGGTAAAGGTTGATGCCAAGCCCAGGAACAGTAGCACCCAGCTTGGGGATAAGTCACAGCGACAGTGCCTCTTGGTGCGTGAGAGGCCCAGAGATTTTTGGCCTCAACTCCATTTCCTCAGGGTGAGTGAGGCTCTGTATGGCCCGGGACACACTGATGGAGCTATGCTGGATACTGGAGCAGGACCTGAGGGCTGCAGGAGTGGGAGGCCATCCTTTTTCTGATGGCTGTGTAGGTGATAACCTCTCTAAAAATTTTTGCAAGTGACTCCTTCCAGGGGACAGTGGGTGAGCTGAATGGGATCTCTATCATGCATCCACAAATCCCTCCAGGACAGTGACCAACGCTGTCTGTGCAAAATCACAGGTCCATTTCGCATTGACAAGGTCAGTGCTGCATCCCAGGTAGTAGGATTCAGAAACATTGCTGGCTTCCCCAGGTGCAGGATATCATTGACTGTATACGTGGCACTGAGAGAGTTGTATCACAACACAGCAGAATTCATGAACAGGGAGGGGCTCATTGGATTCATGTGTAGGTGATCTGTGCTCACTGTTTTGACTTCCTGGAGGTGCATGCCGACTACCCTGGCAGCTGCCACAATTCCTACATCCTGGAGCATTCATGTACCTGCTGAGTTTGAGGGTCCAGATGCCTAACAAGTTTGGTTACTGGGTGATAAGAGTTACCTACTGTGACACTATTGCACAACCTGCTGACAGATGCTGAGCACAGATACAATCTGACCCATGCGATGTTGAAGATGTGGTTCTTCTGTTCGGATGGGTATGGGGTCAGGGGGAGGGGTGGTGGTTTCCAGCATAGTTCAAACTACATGTGCCATATTATTCTGGCGTATGTGTTCTGAACAGTTGAAGTAGGCAGCGAGGCAATCTGTTGAATGCTGAGGAGCTGGAGAAATGGGAGCTTCTGAGTAGGAGGATGAATCGCTCCTTACCCAAAATGGAGCTCAGCTGCATCAGGCACTACAAACCACACAGGACATCTTTGACAAACAAAGAACAGAAATTGCTGGAGAAACGCAGCAGGTCAGGCAGCATCTGTGAACATTGACGTTTCAATTTCAGTGACCATTCTTTAGAACTCAACGTTAACATTATTTTCTCTTCATAAACCTTCGGGCTTGACATGCCCAGCAACTTGAAGAGGCCATTGCCAGCTAAGCACCCAAAATGTTTGTTTCAAAAGGGAGTGCCTGCTGCTCTCCAGTCTCTCCTATCCTAGACTCATTCAAACATTCAACTTCTCACTACATACGTACAGCTTATCGTTACACTTACAGAACAGGTGATGAAGCAATGGTGTGTTCACACAACATCCTTGGAAGCTGCATGAATAATGTTTCACCATTGGCTTTTTGCAATGTCATTGCTGTTAACTTTGAGCTTTGAGGAGATGTCCAAATTCAATTTGCAAGCACCAGTGGCATGGTGCCAATTGCTTTTAACCAGCGGCAGATTCCTAAGTACCTTCACACTGCATGCATAACAAATAAGTAAAAAGTGCCACTAGACCTATTGAGTTTCTCTAGCAATTTCCATTTTGTTTTTTTTTTTTTTCAGATCACCAGCATCTGTGTTTTTAATTTTATATTAGTGAATTCTTTGACACCTATTTCCAGTAGGTGAGAGCTGGGTGCAGCAGACCATCATGGATTGGTAAATATTCATTGGTCATGGTGCCACTGTTTTGTCTGCATTCACATTTGCTTTCTGTAAATAAAGTCTCATCTTTGGATTCATCCAATTGCTTGCATTTATATGATGTTCCCCTATTGGACAATGACGGACTTTGGGTCGACAGCGGACATTGGAGATATAGAGGGTGTTTAGATGTGATGTAACTACGATGGGTGAAGTGTGTGATTTGGTGACGATGCAGCAATAAGATTAAGAGAATGAGTTTTTGCATGCAATGGAGTGTCAGCCATGACACCTACGTTCCTTGGCCAGCATGGTTTTACAGCGGTTGTGTCGTGACATTACTGGTGAGGGGCAATGCCCAATTGAAAGGCTTCTGTGCACCCGGACGTGTGTTGGTTAAGGTGGCATAGTGGGATGCTGGTCTTTTGCTGAGTACCTGCTGAATGGCAAGTTGTTCAGGAACTGTGCATATTGAGAAGCTTTTGGAATTGGACACGAGGGATACCATAGCAGTGGGGTAGATGGTTAATGAGACTATTTTGATAAGACAAGGCAAGAAAATTTTGTTAGGCCTTCCAGCGCAAATCCTTATCAATGAAAACCCAATACAACTCTGGCTTGGCCAAGAGAAAGTAAAATTCAGCCCATAACCAAGCAAGAAAAAGAGCAACATTACGGATCAGCTGCATAAAATAAATTAATCCTTCTTGACTGCTGTGCCAAAGCAGTTCAAAACTAAAGGTAATAGATGCCATAAATCTGTTTTGCATGGTATCTTATCAAATGCTTTTGCATCTAAAAAAACCGTGTCCACTACATTTTCTTTAAAACTCTGCTTCTCCAAAGAATTCTAAGATTGATGAGGCCTTGTTGACTTACCCTTACTTATTCATGTTTCAGTGCTTAATTATTTCATGCCATAAATACTATGCTTATCCTTGCCTCTTTTTTTTGAAGAGAGACATGACTAATTCCTCTGCGTCAAATTCTCTTTCCAAAGGTGGTTGTTTTGGAAGATTATATTCAAACTTTCTTCTATTCCTGTTCTAGTTTCCTGGATGCAAACCATTAGATTCCAATGAGTTTCTTATATTTATGTAGCTAAATGTAGTTGTTTTTTGATTGATTGAATTAATTATTAAATTGCTTACCTGTATCATTCTCTTGTATCTTGGCTGAAAATTTGTTCCTGCATATGCTCATTGCCTCTTATTCCTGTCATTACTATCTTCTTACTATAAAACACCTGTAGAAAACCTGGTTTTTTTTAGAAATAAGTCCAATTGTTGATTACATATAGAAATCAAACAAGCAGTCTTTAAAAATATGACAGTTTTAAAGATCCAGGTTACACCTTATGAGATGGTTGAGAAATGTTACGTGAAAACTGATAGACTATAGGGTGCAGTGTGAGTTAAAGAAACTGGATAAAGATTTGGATTTAGAGTTAAAAGTTACCAGACCTTTATCTCGGTTTTGAAAGCTATACAGACTGACTATCCATTTAAAGGATATAAATCAGAATATGTATGAATAATTTGTAGCCAGCTTTCTTTAGTCATGTAGTCAAAGCATATTTGACTGGAACAGGGGAAAAGAATATTTTAGTTTTCAGATAAACTTTCAGGATTCTAGTTCTTTTGAACTAGTAAAGCAGCTAGCATTGTCAATATAGTCCTGAAAAATTTAATACAGATGGCAAAGTTATCAACCTTGCAGAATGATTGCAGTGATGCTGTAGATTTTTCACCCTATCCATGAACTGAATTTGTGTGATGTTAAATATTGACATCTATTGAATGGTTAAATATGTTGGCAGCCACTGAGTTTATCTGTGACAGCTTTTTTTTTGATGGAATGCAATTGGCGATGAAATTTCATTACACTGGGTCTCATCGTAACTGAGGCATTTAACCTTAGAACATTACATGGACTGTTCCCACAGTACTCTTTCTGATTGAGGCAATGCTGTCACTGTTACACCAGCACTGCCTACATTAGAAACAGCCACTTGTGTGAAATCAATCACTTGTATTAATCTGCAGTTTAATTAGATTAGGGGTAATATGAACTGGTGGTTGACATTTGTTGAAGTTTCTACCTTGAGGTGCCCTTAAAACAGGGTTAAGGGGGACAATTGGAATTTTGGTAACAAAAGTACTAAGTACATAATGTCTCAAAGTAGCACTAAACTGGGAAGATATCTTAAGTGCCTGAGTTAGCTCACTACAAGGTGATGTATTTTGCATCCGCCTGCTTTGAACCAAGAAGAGTTTGACCTAGATGACCCGATTTTGTAATCTCCTACTTAATAACAATTTTCGTGCTTTCCAAAATGCCTTGACAATTTATTGCCTTTTCATGCCTCATCTTCAATTGAGGTTTACGGTAGTCCAGTCTCAAGTGAGTTCTTTTTCCTCCTCTCTCACTTCTGAGAACCACCTTCATACAATAGCCAATTCAGCTATTTTGAGGCTGGTGGCAATGCCAGCTTTACATTTCTTGTAAACTGCTCATTGCATCTGTCAGATGAGAATTCTCCAGAAGTTCACACAATCAGCTGCTGCTTTTCTCTGTTGTACCCTATGCCTGTTTATAGAACACCAGTTCACAGATTACAGTTTCATTTTTTTTTTAAAGTGAACATTGGAAATTTGAGTTTGCCAAATTGTGCCAAATTCATTGAGTAAATTTATTTGATTTTCTAAGAAATAGACAATAATCAGACCAAATTGAGGAATTATTTTGTTAATATGTATGAGAAAGGGAACTGACTGGTGCTTTGGCTTTAACACCACTTTTATCATTTCTTAGTTTCAAATTAGCATATAAGGTGATAAGATTTAGGAGCAGAAATAGGCCATTCAGCCCATTGAGTCTGTTCTGCCATTTGGTCATTTGCTGATACGTTTCGCAAACCCATTCTCCTGCCTTCTCCCAGGAAATCTTGATCCTCTTAC